AAATAAAATCTAAACTTTCTTCAAAACAAAGATCTGAGAAACTGCTATTCAGCAAAACACCTAAAAACATCTTTATAGTATAAAGTCATGCTAAAATTTCATGAGTTTTAAAATGACAATCTGGTGTACATACTGTTATTAATCAAGAAATATATCTTCAACAAGGCCCTCATACCATTTCTTTGGCAAATTGAACAGCCGAGAATGTGAGCATATGGTATGATCTCTGGCACCACTTTCTGTACAGTACTTTTTTGGCTGACACCGAGTTATAAGATTGGTTAAGACGGGGTCAGAATGTTCAAGGATTCTTGCCATGACATCAGTGAGCTGATCAATGCGAGAGATTTTCCTGGATAAAAATTGCAAGTAATTTCTAATGTCCTTGTTGTTGTTTGCCTCCAAACATTCTTCAGACAGGTTCCCAAGACTGTAACCATCATTCAAACCAATCAGTTCTACAGAGTGGTGTAGAGTTCCATGCAAAGTATGATTAATTCTTACCCATGGAAAGTTGTCACACAAATTGAAAGCAGTTGAGCCACAGAGATCTTTGAATTTTTTCAATTTGATTTTACACAATGAAGATACAAGTGAGAGGATTGTAGATAATTGACGATGGAGAATAAGTAGGTTATACTTGTGTTTTTGATCAGCTAACTTTTCTATGGCTTCAATCACCTTTTCAGAGAAAAATCGCTATCCTTGTGGTCCCATTAGCTGTATTGACTCTGTCAAGATAAAGTCGTGTTTCCTGGTGAATAGTCTCAAGAATTCGATCCTTGGATTTACAAATGGGGTCCAGTTTTTTCTAGCCACTGCTGGTAGTCAATATGACAATGGTACAGAACTTTCAGAAAACATTTTGTACTGTTGATGTAAGAGTGTGTGTGCAGAGAAATTTCCAAAGGACATGAACATGAACAATTGATTTGAAGGAGGAAGGTTTTGAAAATTTTGAAAGGGTTTAACCAATACACCTTTGATATTGATAACTTATGGTGTATGGATCTTAGGCATTTTTACTGTATTTGATGAATTAGAGCAAGAAAATTGCTGCATTTTGAGTAAAACTGTACCAATTTTTGTCCAATTTTGGGTGAAAATCAGCAAAGATAATGAAAAATTTTGATGTTTTCATCTATTTTGATGGTATTCTGAGGCAATTCATAGCTAACATCCTGTCTGTATCCCCAAAATAGTAATATTACAACCATTTTCATCCATTTTGGAGTTTAAATTTTAATTCTAGCCTACACACAAAATTTATCAATTAGATAAATTTACAGTCTCTGAAATAAACTTTGTTCCTGCATTTAAAGAAAGAAAGGGTTGAGAGTTACATGGCAAACTGAAAAGATTCTAAATGGACTTAGCCTGAATTTTTCATAATGTATATCCTTTGGTATGTGAATCTTAGCCACATTTCATGTATTTGATGATTTTACTTTGTCAAAATCTTAATGAATTCATCATTTTTTTTTTCCAATCAGAATTCAGTTATATGGTATTCAAAGTTAGAAAAATGATAGTAGCTGTATTTCCTCAGCTAACCATAAAAGATTTTAGCCCATTCACTTAGGGTGATGTAGCATTAAAAATATGTGATCAGGATATGACCAAGAAATAGCTTTCATATGATAGTGGGGGACAAGCTGCCACTGTCTCTAAATATGCTTCATTAGCATGCGTCTCAAATAGTCTCTGGCAATTAAATCCAACTCCAAGCTGGAGAATGGGCAAAGGTGGAAAACTAGCTGCTCTGGGTAGATGGCGATCAACAGCCCAGAAAGACAGTCTATCTAGGGGAAGGAAAACACTAAAACCTCCGCTGCCTTTATGGACATATCCAAAAACATGGAACCAGGAAAAGGCTATGGAAGTATTCAGACAGAAAACCTGGAATGGAGCCCTGAAGGCACTTGGCTGTCAACACTGACGACTTTCTGGCAACTTCTGCCGTCAAGCCATACCCAAATGTAATGCCTTGTAGTGTATTCCTTTGGATCTTATCCGTATGGCCAAGAGAGGACCATGTGGTCTGGGATGCACACCACTTCCATATACCATTGCCCAGGCCTGTACCCTGGAGAGCTCACTCCAGTTTTATCACCAAAGGATTGAATTTTGACCAGACATTTTGAGAAAAACTGATGCCTACTATAAGTTATCTCCCTTTTGGTTATGGTTAGAAATATGGATGCATAGATTGTTTTTTAGTTTTTGTTTTTTTCTAACTTGCTTTAGAATTAATAAAAAAATTAATGAAAAATATATTCTTGCCTATTTAAAATTTGATTAATTTGCTCTTTTAATATTTTAATTATTAAAACATTTTGACAGCACTTGCTAAGTAATTCTATAACTTTTAAGACATTCTACAATAAACCAGAAAGAAATTTGCAAGATTACAAGTTTTGTAATGTGACAATGTTTTGAGAATTGGATACCTATTAAAAGCAAATATTTGGTATATCTGTTTATAGTATTTTTTACTGCTTATCACAAAGCACTTGTTAGTTAATTTTCCTTAAGATTGTATACTTCCTAATTGCAGTCTTTTTACTTTTTCATTTATAGTAGGTAATGCTGAGGACATAAATGTGAATGTAAATAATATTTGGTTGATAAAAGTAAATATGCAAATATAGTGACAGCATCTGTCTATATTTCTGAGATAAGGTATTATGTACACTATTTACATTATTCAGACTATTGTCCTCATCTTTGTTGCCATATTTATCATGACGTTGTGATAAATATGGTAACAAAGATGAGGACAATAGTCCAAATAATGTAAATAGTGACAGCAGTTCAGAAGCAAGGAAAAGGTATCTTGTGTGATGAATGTCTGATATATTGTACTTGGCTATTCAGAACTTTACATGTTAAAATAGTTATGCTGTTTAAGACAATGTTAGACCATTAATTTGGTAGATGTCTCTTCATTGAATTTAATTTTCATCATCTGTCCATATTTATGCTGGGCTTGAGATTGGGACTTTTCTTGACTGTAAGAACAAAATAAAATTGGGTAATCAAAATGAAAAAGATAGAAGAGCCTATTCTGCCAAACAAAATGGCCGTGTGTTACATGTAATATTTACTGAATAATCAAACTGAGAATCTATATCCAGCACCCTTTCATAGAGACCAACAGCTTATGCAAATTTGTCTGACCAATGGTACATGTCTCAAGGCTATAGAAAATCACATGTTTTTGGAGAGGCATATATATTTTCTTTTCTGTAACCTGCCAGCTGAGTTTGAAGATCATCTGATGTGTGTGTGGATTTTTGAACTTATCTTTCTTTTACATGTATCCTATCCATGAAGACAGTTTGCAATCCATTCCTAATTCACTGAACAATTAAGTTGCATCTATGCTCCCTCCCCCCTTTTTTTGCCTGCTAAAGTAACAAATTTAAATATTATAGCAAGATTCTTTTTAAATTTGTTATATAGGAATAAAGTGTTGCTGCTGACACTTTAGTTTGAACATAGATCACCAGTGAGCAAACACAGGTGATCCCATTATTGAATTAAGTAGACCACGTGACCATAGAGGAAATGCATAAGAAGTCATGTGACATCTAAATGATTGCTATTTCTACTCTATCCTCTATTACTATATGGACCGCTATTCTCCACTCTATTCACTATACTATTTTTCTATTCAGATCACTATATGAATTACTATTCGAGCAAGTACTATTAGTGTGAGTGCTATTCAAACGTGTCTGACACTAGCATTGTTTCAATGGTGTACTATAGTTGTATATGTGATTACAAAGTATCTACTACAGATTTCAGCTGATTCATGCATTAACCTTGGATACCTGATGAAAGTTGAATTGACTAAAATATTAAATAACATCAAAAACATCAGAAGAGGTTTAGTTATCCAATTGAAGTTTAGATTTTCTGTTTAAAATTTTGGTAATATTGTTTACTATTGTTTTTTACTAACATAATTTAAACCTATTGTCTGGTTTACACTCCTCCCCGGTCTTTTGAACAGGAGTAGAGGTTTATCCCTTTTTTTTTCTTGTTTAGGATTGGGCTTTTGGTTCCTCCTAAAGTTTCTTCATTTTCCAAGTAACCCCTTGCATCTAAGTGGCATTATTTGCTTTGCTTGGGGGTGAAATGATAAAATAAAAATACAAATTACATATATTATTTTTTTTTTTTTTTAAATACCATCACCCATATAGGCAATCTTGGCTTGTCACACATTCTTTTTGTGATTAACCATGACTTTTTGGAAAAGATAGTGGAGTGTTTTTCTGGTGTCATCTCCATGGTTTTGAATTCAGAGTGGTCCTCCACAGAGACTGGTTGTACCACTTAAGGCAAGAAAACCTTGTTTACTTTCCCAGTTAGCTCATAAATGGGGGAGGGGAAGAGATGGATTGATGCCCTTTCCAAGGGCATTTGTGCTAAAGTGAATGGACATGTTAGGCCAGAATTTTAACTTGGCTTGCCAATTCTATTTTCTGTACTGATATCCATCACACTACCCAGTCCTACTGATTTTTACTTTTAAATTTTGGAGACTTTTTTGGTTTTTTTTCCTGAGACTTGACAAACACTGTATAAACTTGAGTTGTTTGTATTCAGAATTAAACATTTTTTCAGTTTTTATTTTACACTCAAAAACTATGACATCTTTAGCTTTTAACTTTTAGCACTCTGCAGCTGACTATTTACACCAAGCAAAATGTTAATCCTGCCAATGCAAGTTGAATTTGAATTTTTTGGTTGTGCAGTCATAGCCTTCTATGGCAATACTTAAAACAATCTTGAATGAAATTGAGTCAGGCTACTGCGATTTCAAATATATGGAAATAATATATAAAACACTATATTTTAAGGGGATTCCATATGCAGTAAAAGTGGAAGTAATATTTATAAATGATGCATTGTTAAATGTTAATATATTTGAATAATCTTAAATATGGTTGATTTTAATATTTTGTAATTTTTCTTTTGTTTTTCAGTCAATGAACTTGAGCAAGAAGGCAAAGATGCCATTGAGTCCAAGTTGAATATTTCCAGCCTGGCCATTGATCCTGAAGGATACAAATTGGGTTGAGTGTTTTTGAGCTTTCATAAGTTTTGTACTTTTTTGTAAATGTGTTTAGGTATTTAATTATAAAAAGTTAAGAAATAATACTTTGTCCAACATATACGGAAATTACAAAGCACGGATAAAAGTCTTTAGTATGAGACAGAAATTTCACAAAAATCTTTTCACTTTTTCCTTTATAGCAAATGCCAATATACTGTTTTAATATTTACACATTTGCTGATTATTGATCAGCCTTTTTAAAAATTACCCAACAAAAATATGATAAATCTGAAAATCCATTTCAGTTTTAAAAAGTACCCTCACATTGTCACACAACTGTATGTGATTGTAGAAATGGATTTTTTTCAGAAGAAGATTATTGAAGGGACAAGTGCAATGTAGAGGGTGATCCGAAAGTCTTGTCACCCCCTACTAAAAGGTAACGAGAGCACTAGAACAACAAGTAATAAAAAGTACATGTACTGGATACAGTTTATTCACTTTCATTGACACTGTCACACATTGAGAGGGTCTGTATGAACAGCAACATTTTCGTGACACAAAAGGGTGTGGTGCCATGTCCTGTGTGATATTTTAAGAAGCTGTGCTTTGTTGATTGTTACAAAGGATCTCTGAATGGCATCCTTCAATTGATAGGTATTCCAGTATTGTTCATGTGAAACTCTAGGGGTGAAAAGTCTTTTGGACCACTGTAATACAGAAAGAATCAGTCTTAGAATAAAAATATGAGAAGTTTGTCAAATGGTCAGTGATCTTGTGGTTGGGAAGAGGGAATAATGCACAACTGTGATACTACTCCAATCATTTCACCCCAAGCAAGTTGGGAATGCTACTAGTATGTGGAGTGGGGGGTTGTAGAGAGTGAAGGTGAGAAAAGACTGGGTATGGGGGGGGGACTGAGAAAAGTATAAAAGCTGAATGGGGTTCAAAGGATAATGAGAGAGAGGAGAGGAGAGTTGAGGAAAAAAAAAGTATGAAGTTTCCTTTTCTCATTTTACTGAACCACTTTTAACTGTATAGAAGAAAGTGGTCACCATAGCAGAATTGCCTTTCAGTTTCTCTTTGCTTTAATTTATATCTTTCATGTTCAAAGCTATGTAAACATGAACATTTTATGTCATGTGGTTTTACATACTTTGTACTTTATTCAACAACTTGTCACAAGCATGTCCTTTGAACACGTCATTCATAATTATCATTGCCAAGTCACATGACTGAATTTTGCTTTCATTTAAAGAGAAACAACCATATTTCTAAATGTAAGTGTGAAATATGAAAGGTAAAAATAACAGGACCTATGCTATTTTTCATCTGTTTTAGTGACAGATCATTGAGCTAGGCTATACTTTTACAAATCTGAAAATGGAGCTTGCAGCTTATGCTCAATAATATTAAGACCCCCCCCACTCCACCCCTTATTGGCCTGGATTTCATCAAGGATATGTGCAAAAAAGATAATTAAATGGTCAATAGGTCTCAGTTGATGATATTTTATAAATTGTTTGATATAAAATTTAAATGTATTTTAATGCATAATGTTACGTCAGTAATTCTAGATCACACACACATATATATATATATATATATATATATATATATATATATATATATATATATATAATAAAAATATGATAAACTGGAAATGTTTATTTGTAATGTGTTTCATCCATTGGGATTTCATTGGACTGGGCTTTGTTGACATTGGCACGTCTACACATGTGCATGAAATGAGAGATGCAGGCAGTTTCAAAAACTTTGAAAGAATTTTTTTTTTTTTTTTTTCAATCTAGTCAAATTCGTTTGTATTCTTTTTTTCTCCATCTCCTTTGTCCCAAACTATCCCACATTGTGACAACAGAAAATTTACCAAGAATGGTAATATATTGTAAGAGCCTGGATGTAAATTTACTGTGGCTGAACTAGCGATGAAGGCACTTTCCAGACATTTTCATATTAACGGATTATTTTCTCTTTTAATCAAAATAGCATTCCTTGTGTCAAAATTGTGGTCTGTTTTGTTACGGTGAACAACCAATGCATTTTGTGGGATGTTTTTTTTTTTTTTTTAAATGTCCCTTTTGTGTTCATATAGTCTTTTGCTTAAACTTCTTCAGGTTTCTCCTAAGTATTCAATCTGACAATTCCTACAGTTGATAGATTAAATTCCTCCTTCAAGTTTTGGCTTGTTTTATTTTATTTATTGATTAAGTCTTTGATCATTTCAGATGTAGTTGCAACAAATTTTATGTTGAACTTAGATAAATTTTTTTGGTTGTAGTTGTAATAGAGTTAATGGGTAGAATAATATATTTCTTTGATGTGTTGGGTTTGTCAGAAAGGATAGCTCTTCTGTTTTGTAATATTTTATGAGCCTTTTGTTTTGCATTGAAAATGAAATAGTTAGGTTATAGAAGGGTCTTGAATGTGTTTTCTTGGTGTAAATATTGAGGGCTGCAAATTCTGAATGCTCTTAAATAGAATCCAATCATCATTTCGGATTTTATTTTGTTGTTATGATGGGGATATAAGTTTATTTAGTCATTTTTATTGGTTGATTTTCAGTGGACACCGAGTTCTAGGCTGTTGTTAACTCGGTGTAACATGATATCTAAGAAAGGTAAAGTATTTTTTTTTTTCTATTTCATATGTAAATTCTATAGTGTGTTCAGGTTTGTTTAGTTTATCTACAAGATCCGGTAAGTTAGTATCATGGGGATATATTAATAGAGCATCATCAGTATATCGAAAATAATTTGATTGTTTAGGTAAAATGTTTTGGGAAGAAGTAAGAAATTCCAAGAAAATACATGTCATCACTCCACTGAGAGGGGATTTCATCAGTAATCCAAATTTTTGTTTGTAAAAATTAATGAAAGTAAAATAACATTGATTGGTGATGAGACATCAGATTTTTATTATTTAGCTATATATATATATATATATATATATATATATATATATATATATAGAGAGAGAGAGAGGGGTTATCTTTACTTTTTGTTAGGGCTGCTTTTTAAAAAAGATTTAGGCATTTTTTAATCAGGATGTTAGTGTAAAGTGATTTTTTTTTTTTTTTTTTTTTATATCTAGACTGGCCATAAGTTTGTCAGTCATATTTATTTTTTTTAGTTTTTCAACAAAGTTGCCTGAATTTTTCATATGTGATGGACTTATTGTTCCAAGGAGAGGGGTTAATATTTTTGCTATGGCTCTAGTTATTTTGTGGGAGGTGGGCACTACCTATTCCAGAAATGATGGGGTGCATAGGGAGATCAAACCCTTTTGGTGTTCTAGGGTGATATCTGATAGGTCTATACTCTAATTTATCATCATTGATATTTTTGTTTTAAGGTGTCTCGTTTCCATTATTCATCAATTTGGGATGGAAGGTAATTCTGTATCTTTACTTACAAGTACCTTTGTGTCAGTAATAAATTTCCTAAAGAAATTTTAAAGGTTAGTTGTACATATTGTCTGGGCAATTGCAAATCGAGGTTAGATCTGCAAAATATTTTTAGGTTAATGTCTAGGCTTATACAATTGTCAATAATTATGATATCTAATTGGGATGTTGACTGCGTCTCTCTACTCAGTTGCTTATAGATGATACATGTTAAAATTCCACCATCTATGTCTAACAAACTGTGGTTATTCTGCATTTTAAAAACCAATTGTAAATAGGATTTAATCTATTTGTAAACATATAACAGAGCCCTCTCTCAGCCTTTCACTGACCTGACAATGAAATCCTATGTTGCATCTCTATTCTCACATGCATCAATATATACCAAAAACTAGGAAACGTTCATTGTATGTTTACAAAGGAAACAAAAGCTGGGTAGGTCAATGTTATGGCAAGAAATGAAGACTCAAACACTGTTTTCAAATATTTTATTATTTATTTCATGGATTACATTGCATAGTCTGGGTAGATAGGTAAATGAAACTTCTGTGCTGCCATTCTAAGACAAGGGCCACAAACTTGAGGATGCAAAAGGGCTATTATATGATGAGGTGCAGTAGGCCAGAAGTAGGGGACAACAGACATATGTTTATATAAGTCTGTGACCAGAATTCTCCCACATCTTGACCGCAAAGGGTTTCATTCATTTATTTATTATTTTATTCTGTTTTGGTCATGTACTGGCTGCTTTTGAAGATTTCATTTCACAAATTTTATTACTGGTTATAAAAACACATTTTAAGATTAAGATAAAATCACTCACCATCCTCTTTTATGTGGATGTCCCAGTCACATGGTATTAACCCTTCATTAACTTTTAGTACTTTGTAGGCAAATTTGTTTCCTGAGCTAAATGTCTGTTCTGGCATTGCAAGTCATTTTGATTACCAAACAAGTGTTTCAAATTTTGGCTGAAATCAAAACAAGTCGTTGAAAAAAAAAAAAAGCAAGGGAAGAGGAAGTAAGCTTTATGAATAATGCAGGATGATAATGGTTAAACTATTTTTTATTGAGTTTGAGATGTAAAATTTTCAAAAAAAAAAAAAGAAAAAAAAGTTGAAATTGTAATTAGAAATTAGTGTTAAGGTTTTTGTATTAGTTGATAAATATAAAAAACTCTTATGAGATTTTCTCTGAGAGTTTGGTTAACATTCTTTATTTCTGTCTTGGTCCAAAACAAAATATGCAAGTTTTTCTTGGCTTTTAAAAGCTGAAAATTCTTTGAAATTTTTCTTAATTTTTAAGTAGTGTTTCTTTCATTGTTGTTCTATCATAATCCTTTTATCATTTTTACATTCTGTGATTCTAAAGCAATAGAAATTAGAAAATAAAGAATCTCTACAATTTAAACTTGTATCCTATCTTCTTGGAGCATGTACAGTTTCTTACCTTTAGGCTATGATGAGTTATAAACTAGCAAAATTAAAATTTTATTAGATAGCTATGTACTTTATTCAAATTTCTCTCTGCTATATTGTTTTGTTTACATTTAGAAGAAATAATCATATGAAGTTGTTCAATTTTTTTTTTAGATTATACAGTGTAATTTATGATTTTGTTTTTTTTTTCCTTTGTTTTTTGTTTCTGCTTGCACTTCATTCCCATTTTTAGTTCATTTTTACGTTTGATGATCAAGTGAAGAACACAGATTGAGAGATAAAAAATTCTATTACTAGATGTGGAGAAAATTATTTAAGGGAAAATGTAGGTAAATGGCTAATTTTGAATTTGGCATGTTGATGTATTTTTGTGGCCCAACAGCAAAAGACTGTAAATTCAAATTTATTTTTCTCCCTGTTTACTGCTTAATCAAAGGTCGTCGAATATAAAAAAAAATGGTCTGAGCATTGCGATAAAAAGCAAGACGAAATGAAAGTGAGTAAAAAAACAAAACAATTTTGAACAATTTAAAATTAAATATAGTAGTAATGGTGTAAACAAGGGCTGTTACTCTTGGTACGGAAATCAAGAGTAACTTCCCTTAAATTAAACATAATCGGAAAATGGCTACTCTCGTCCGAAGCTCGATCACATACTCACCAAGAGAAAAAGAAAAAATGCTTCATGCAGATTAACTACCTTGTTAGTGATTAGTTTTACAAACAACATATAATTTTCATGTAACTTATAGATTAACGTGTTTTTTTTTTCTGTAATTTTTCTTCATATTTGACCATTAGAAAATTTGCAGATTTATACTTCTAAAATCCCTATCCATTAAATAAATTAATTTGATTCTTCCATTTTATCAATGATACTATTTTGGCTTTCAGAGGAAAATGAAGAACGTTCTATGATTGAACCTTCATCTCGAGATGATTATAAAGTTAAGGAACTAATGAATGTAAGTCAACTTGTCAGTTAATACTTTTAGCTTGCAAAATGCTTCCTCTCCCTATTCTTCTTCTTCTCTTTCCTCTCCCTGTTCTTCTTCTTTCTCTTTCCTCTCCCTGTTCTTCTTCTTTCTCTTTCCACTCCCTGTTCTTCTTCTTTCTCTTTCCACTCCCTATTCTTCTTCTTTCTCTTTCCACTCCCTATTCTTCTTCTTTCTCTTTCCTCTCCCTATTCTTCTTCTTTCTCTTTCCTCTCCCTATTCTTCTTCTTTCTCTTTCCTCTCCCTATTCTTCTTCTTTCTCTTTCCTCTCCCTATTCTTCTTCTTTCTCTTTCCTCTCCCTATTCTTCTTCTTTCTCTTTCCTCTCCCTATTCTTCTTCTTTCTCTTTCCTCTCCCTATTCTTCTTCTTTATCTTTCCTCTCCCTATTCTTCTTCTTTCTCTTTCCTCTCCCTATTCTTCTTCTTTATATCTTTCCTCTCTATTTCTTCTTCTTTATCTTTCCTCTCCCCGATTCTTCTTCTAAGATACAAGGAGTTTCCTCTCAGAGAATTCTTCTTCTTTCTCTTTCCTCTCCCTATTCTTCGTCTTTCTCTTTCCTCTCCCTATTCTTCGTCTTTCTCTTTCCTCTCCCTATTCTTCGTCTTTCTCTTTCCTCTCCCTATTCTTCGTCTTTCTCTTTCCTCTCCCTATTCAGATTCTTTCTTTCCTCTCCCATTCTTCTTCTTTCTCTTCTCCCAATTCTTCTTCTTTCTCTTTCCTCTCTTAAATTCTTCTTCTTTTCTTTCCTCTCCCTATTCTTCTTCTTTTCTCTTTCCTCTCCCTATTCTTAGTCTTTCTCTTTCCTCTCCCTATTCTTCTTGGAAAGGGACTTTCTCCCTATTCTTCTTCTTTCTCTTTCCTCTGTTATTCTTCTTCTTTCTCTTTCCTCTCCCTATTCTTCTTCTTTTCTCAAGTTCTCCATGGAATTTCTTCTTTTTTCTCTTTCCTCTCCTTATTCTTCTTCTTTCTGTTTTTCCTCTCCCTTTTCTTCTTCTTTCTCTACAAACTCTCAATATTCTTCTATTTTTCCTCTTTATTTCTTCTCAATTTTATTTATCATTCCTCTATTTATATCTTTCTTCTTATTTTAATTCCTCTGATTGATTCTTCTTCTTTCTCTTTCCTTTAAAGATATCTTTTAGAAACTTCTCAAAAGAAAAAAATTGAGAAAACTGTTGCACTTCCTCTTCCTTCTTCTTTGAAACTGGGGATAACATCGAAGATTGTCCCTTGAATCTTGCTCTTTTTAAATTCTTCGTCTTTCTCTTTCCTCTCCCTATTCTTCTTACAAAGATCTTTCCTCCCTATTTTTCTTCTTTCTCTTTCCTCTCCCATATTCGAGTTTTATTTTTCATTGGATGAATTCTTCTTCTTTCCTTTCCTCTCCCTATTCTTCATCTGTTCTCTTTCCTCTCCCTCATTCTTTCTCTTTTAGAAAAAGATATTTTATTCTTTTCTTTTCCCTCTCCCTATTCTTCTTCTTTCTTTCTCTTTAATGTTAGATTTTTAAAAATATTCCCCTTAAATCAAAAAAATCCTTTCTTTTTAGACAAATTTTATTTTTCCTTTTTCTCTTTTTTTTTGTCACCTGGGATAATCACAGGGATTCTTTATACGTGTATTTCTTTGTTTTGCATTAAAGAAAAAAATTCTCTTAATTTCATTATTTTTTAAAAATTATTTTTAAGTATCTTTTCTGTTATTCTATACCTTTTCAACTTCAAAATGATAATAATCAACTTCAAAATGGACTTATTTTCAAGTAAAAAAATTAATCAACTTCAAAATGGAACAATCAACTTCAAAATGGAACAATCAACTTCAAAATGAAACAATCAACTTCAAAATGGAACAATCAACTTCAAAATGGATTAATCAACTTCAAAATGAATTAAAAACCTAAAACAGAAAATTTCAAAAAATAAAAATAATCGACTTCAAAATGAGAATAAACGACTTCAAAATGAGAATAAACGACTTCAAAATGAGATTTTTTTTGTTAAATTGAAATTTTTTTTTCAATTAATTTACCCCATGAGTAAGGAAATTGACTGTTCGTCTTCATTATATAGATAATGAAAAAACCAAAATACAAACAACTTAGAGGCCAAGAAAGCATTGGGTGAGCCTACAGTAAAAGTAGGAAAGAAAGTCCCGTATGGACAAAAAATGATTGATGATGATGGAGAAACCTCTACAAAAGAAGCTGAATAAGAATTAGCAACAACTCAAAGAGGACTTACTTCAAAGAAAAAAAGGCCCAGATTTTAGCTGCACACGCTGCAGCAGGAAATTGGAAAGATCTGGCAAGAACAATTGGTGTGCCTCTGCCAACAGCGTACCATTGGTTAGACCAGGATGCTGATAAGAGTGACTCTAGGGGAGGAGCAAGAAAATATAAAATTACGCAAGTGCATAAGAATTTTATGGCGAATTAATTGAAAAACTCCTAGGGTCACTCTTCAAGATATTGTAAATGTTGAAAAGTATGAGGTTTGTGTGATGAAAGAATACATAAAAAGCACTTGGACTCCATGGCCTTTACTTTAAAAGCAGTTCATTATGAACCAGAAGCTGCCAATAATAATGTCAATAAGGTAAGAAACGTAAGGATTATGCAGTAGCTTTATTAAAATTTCAGTCCCAAAGTGTGCCAATTCTTTATATGGATGAAACCAATTTTAATCTCCATATTTCAAGAAGAGAAGGTCGCTCTAAAAAAAGGCACAAGGTGCACTTCAGTCATGGCGGATCCAGGGAAATAACATCCATGTTATTGGATGTATTAGTAATAATGGATTAATTCATCATAAAATTAAAAGAGGTTCTTTCAAAAAGGATGCGAAAAGAATGAAACAGGGAGTGCCTTAGAAAGGCAAATGAAATTTATGAAGGGAGTTGTCTTAGTTATTGATAACGCTCCTTGCCATAATTCAATTGAAGAAGTTGTGGAGGAGGATGAATATAGGCAACACAAAATTTTCAGACTTGCCTCCGATAGTCTGATGTTAAATCCCCATTGAAAAGGTTTGGTCAGTCATTAAAGCTGATGTAAAAAGAAGTATGGCAGACTCAATTATTGGGATTTTAAGAAGTAATGGCCAGGGATCTTTAGCTACTAAAGAATTTCGCCCCAGCAAGTTAGAAGCGATAATCTCCGAGGCAATTAATAATATTTCCCCAGAGACTTGCACTAACTTCGTATCTGGAATACAGAGATTACTTCCCTCTGTAATTAACTTAGATGATGTAATCTTTTAAATAAATTTCTTAGGAACGTTTATATTTTTTTATATCCTTTTTAAGTAAAAATAAAAGAATAAATATTAAATTTATTAGTATTATATTATTTCTCATTTTGAAGTTGAAAAGGTATAGATTAATATTTGGTTATGTTTATTTCTTTCAATATTGGATTAGAGAATGTTCAGTATATTTGTAAATACCCCAAAAGTGTTACATGAAAGCATCTGTAATTTTAGGTATATAACTTTTGTTCATATAACATTCATTTTAATAAGTTGTTGAACATTGTTGTCATATATTTAATTTTTCTTTTCTTTTTTAATGTCTTTCTGCTCAACATTTTAGATTTTGCTTGGTTGGATCAATGACGAACTGGCTGATCAGAGAATTATTGTCAAAGATGTTGGAGAGGATCTCTTTGATGGACAAATCCTGCAAAAACTGATAGGTTGTTGTTTTTAAGATTTGTTTTTCTTTCCTTTTGGTTTCTTTTATTGTCATTATGTTTCTGTCTTTTGATGTGTGCTTTTGAAAATGAAAAGCTGAATGTGCATGCTTAAAACAATTGAGGCTGAAGAATTAAATAGGCTGCCAGAAGTTTCTGAAAAGTCCTTTCTTATATTTTTCTTTTCAAACCTATTATAATTATTTATCACCTGTTATAACATGCAGGAAAGTTATGGATAAGAAATATAGTGTCACCAAGTTAGAAAGGGGAAGTAAAAGTTTGTTATGGTGATTACAATGTTCACAATAGAAACTGTTTTGTTTGGGTTAGTTGTAAGAAATGCTCTATTTTCAATGCTACTATAAATAAATGCAAATGCCTTATTTGTCGGCACCCACTCATCATTCTCTCTCCTTATTGCCTTTCTCCTCTCTGGTGGCAATGATGGAGATGGCTGTGAAGGCCCAGCCTAATCTTGAAAAGTCATGAGCAGGAGTTACAAAGGAGTGTGGGTGGTGGATACAGATGAATGGTAGATCCTCTTCACATTGACGGTTGGACTCTAAAGTCTTGATCTCACCTTGGATGGTTATATGCCAGGGAAGTCGCTTTGCAGCATCAGTTTCCTGGGTCTTGGGTTCGATGTTGGCCTGTGTCAGGGATGTTTTGAACTGATCCTTGAGGTGTCATATTGGTCTTCCATGTAGCCTCTTGCCACTGGTGAGGTCTCCAGACAGGATGATACATGGGAGTTGAGTGGGAAGCATTCTGAACATGAACATGAACATGACCCACCTAGCGGAGGTGATGTTGAAGAATGGTAGCCTCGATGCTTGAGAGAGAGGACCTCATTGTTGGTGATACAGTCCTCCCAAGTGATGTGAAGGATTCTTTCGAGCTTCGTACACTGGAACTGTTTCAGATGTTTGATGTCCTGATGATACAAAATCCAAGACTTGCATGTGTACAGGAGGGTGGAGAGGACCATGGCCCAGAAGACCATGATTTTCTTTTTTATGGTGATACCTTATTGACTCTTAGTTAAAAAAAAAAAAAAGAATGTAACATATTCATTAGTACTTTGAATTTATAATCATCTATAGACAAAGAATTAAATTGTCCATTAAACTGCCTTCATTTTTATCTGAAAGGAAAAACCGAATCATCCATAGATTAGATAATCAAATATATGTAAGATATTTATGCTGCATTTTAGTCAGCATAAAATATGATTTATTCATTTAAGTGAATGTTGTAATAAGTGAAATTTTAAGTTTTCTGACCATGATCTTGTATTTTCAATCATGCAATTTTGACATCTCCGCTTTTTTTTTTCTTTCTTCTGCTTTATGGTCAATATGAGTGACAGAACTAATTTCAACTCGATTTGAAATCAAAGTTATCAATTTCCGTGAATTCCTAAACAAAATGCAATGAGTTGGTTGTTTTTTTTTTTTTTTAAATTTAGCATTAAAAATCCTCAGTAGATAAAATAATTCAGAATTCATCTTTTCTTCAACTTTCTTTCTTTTTTGTTGCAAATGAATAAAGTGGTACTTTTTTTTTTATTTACTTTATTCATTTAAATCTGATCCAATAAAAATGCAATGTTCTTTTTAGCAAGAACAGTAGATTGTTAACTTTTTTTTTTAAACTTTCATTCAAACAAAGCTGTTATTGTTCAAAATTTAAGAAAATCAATAAATTAAATTTTAATTTCATTTGAATAGTTCTGAGTTAAAATTAGTTCTGCACCCCAACAATACACATATAATAATCATCTTGATGAAAATTTCTTTTTTTTTTTTTTTTTTTCTTACAGAAAAACTAGCTGGTATCAAAGTCCAGTTTCCAGAAGTGACTCAATCTGAAATTGGGCAAAAGCAAAAGTTACGTGTTGTTCTTGATGAGATTAATCAAATTTTGGGCTTAGGTCCAGCATCCCCTAAGGAAGTCAATTGGAGTGTTGACAGTAAGTGTGATATTTTGACCATTTTTGTCTGTGCTTTCAGACTGATTTATAATAATTTATAGTTATGTTTCTGTTCTGAAATTTTGTAGTTGTCAAGTGCATTTCATATTTGATGATAAATTAAATTTCTGGGCATGTGCATTGCAGAGACTATACCACCACAATAGTCAAGACAGTGCAGCAGCAACTGTATTTACTTAGGATTCTTAGAAAATATAATTTACAAGGGCAACTGCTGATGACCTTCGCCTGCTGCTCTATTGAGAGTGTGTTGGTGTACTGCATCACTGTTTGGTATGCCAGCTGCTCGGAAGCGGAAAGGAGAGTCCATCAAAGAGTTATAGATGTTACCTAAAAAATAATTGGTTACTTTCTATCATCCTTGGAGGACATTTCTAATTCTTGCTGTTGCAGCAGAGAACAACACAATGAAAGACA